CTAAATGCTAGCCCTTGGGATGAAGGTCCAGGGCTCCACTCAGCACAGGGACCCCAAAAACAGAAATCACTTTTTTTCTGGTGACAAGTGGGGGGGGGATAACTATATTTGAAGCAATTTTGCCATCAGAAAGGGTGCATATGAGAGTATTGAGCCTGACTAGGGCATATATCCTTGAACTATGCCTCAGCTGCTTCTGCCTTGTCCTACCTCATAGCTTGCTTTAGGCAGCTATTATGCAGGCGTGTCTTACCCTATATCTGGAGCAGCTGCAGCACTCAGTATTTCTGGGAAAACCTGAGGCCACACTGTCAAGAACACCAAATAAGTCTATATGACTCTTAAGAAAATCCAGTAGCTTTCACTTTAACTCCCCTTCCTCTGTAGCCCATTTTGTTCCATTCAAGATGCACATTTTTTCCCCAAGACAATTTAGACAGGAAGCAGATTAATGTGTTGTTGCATAAACAGTGAAGAGGCCAGTGATCCCTTAAGGTTGAACACATTTATTGTGGAATAAGTTTTTCTGGACCATAACACATTATATGTGCATCATCTTTACTCTGATTTCTATTAGGAGAGCATTAGTCACTGCTCATTTATATTGTTCTCCTTCAAAGAAGATCTTTACCTAGACAGATCACTGGAGCAGAGCCTTTTATTCCAACGTTGCTGTGTGGGAAAGTCTAATACAGAGAAAGATGATGCTATATTTCCACCGAAGAACTGCACGTCCTGTTTCTCTTGCAACCATTTGAGCAAGCTTGTTTTATTGAATCTGAAGGAAGTAGTTCATTCATTAATAACTTTTCTATATGTGGAATGGCATTTTAAATGATTCCTGTTCTGATTCACTTACCAAGTGATGCTTGCTGTGTGTTTTTAAGTGAAAACGAGCAAATGTCTTCTGCTAGGCATGTCTAACAGCAGAACTATTTCCCGTCTATATTTTAGCCTCACTATACTCAATAGCACTCTCTTATATTGAGGATTGGCGCTTCAGTCTATCTAAAATGTTGTTTCAGCCTCAGCTAAAGATTTTCATTGAACTTAAATTGTTCATCAGTAATAAATTTCTCAAACTCTTTGTGTGCGGCCACAGTCTTGGGAGTAACTATTAATGATTATTAATGAATTTTGATCATTGAGGCTACAAGCCTAAGACACATTTTCATATGAGTAAGTCTCACCAATGATAGTGAATCTTTGAGTGAATGTGTGGAAAAACTGGTGATGGAGATGGCTGAGATGCTACTGTTGCCCTTGAACATCTCTGTTTAAAATATCTCTGCTGGTGGTGTTTCCTACTATGCTTACTGTCCTGTTGCTCTTGAATGTCTCTGTTTAAAAGTGCTGCTGGTGGTGTTTCCTACTATGCTTACTTCAAATGGTATTTCCATCTCATTTACTGCCCAGAGGTCTTATATCTTATTTCTCAACCTTCTCATGGAGCATTCCATTCTTATGTGTGTCTTGAGTCACAGTCTCTCACTCAAAGCTGAAGTCAGAAGATGTCATAGCAGCTCTCCAGTACAGAGACAGAAAGTGGACTGCACATTAGCTGCTGCATCCACTGGATTAAAAGTCCCATCTGCATAGCTGACAGAGTTGGAGCATGGGGGGTCAGGGGTTCAATTCCTCTTTGTGATTTAGGACAGCCCCAGAGTGTCCCCAGAAGGAGGGAATGGTAAACCCATGGCTAGAAACCCCTAGAAAGGGTTGCTGAAAGAGGAGGGAATGGTAAATCTATGCCTAGAAACCCCTAGAAAGGGTTGCTGAAAGATAAAATCGACTTTGTTGTTATTTAGTCGTTAAGTCGTGTCCGACTCTTTGTGACCCCATGGACCAGAGCACGCCAGGCGCTCCTGTCTTCCACTGCCTCCCCAAGTTGGGTCAAATTCATGCTGGTCGCTTCAATGACACTATCCAAACATCACGTCCTCTGATGTCCCCTTCTCCTCTTGCCTTTGCTCTTTCCCAACATCAAGGTCTTTTCCAAGGAGTCTTCTCTTCTCATGAGATGGCCAAAGTATTGGAGCCTCAGCTTCAGGATCTGTCCTTCCAGTGAGCACTCAGGGTTGATGGCACACAGTTATTATTATTAGCTCAGCAGAAGGAGTCTTTGGAGGCAATTCCTTGCATTGTCTTATGATTCTGGTTCCAAAGAATAATTCTTCCAATCTAATGGGTAAAGAACAGGTCTAAATGACTTTTGCCATACAGAACACAGCTCAGAGGTTTACTAAAATTGTTGACGAATGGTGAGTTCACCTGAGTCCAGCAACCAAGAAAACAAGCAAACCAATGTTTTGGTTTCTTGTTCTGATTTAGTACTGCGGTGTGCAACCAGGAGTACAGAATGGTTAATAGGAGAGGGGTTTTGATCTACCTGGGAGTCTGAATGAGCAAAATGAAGTGTTTCCTAGAAGTTCATTACTCTGAGTGAGCATTCGAGAATTGTTCCTCAGAGACAGATGACAGCACTTCTGAACATTATGTTGGTATGGGCCTGCCTCCTTCCCTTTTATTTTATTTGAGTATTTACTTGAATAGCTTCTGGTCCAAGAGATTTGACCTCAAAAGTCAGTAGAAGCAATAAGATAGGAAGTTAATATTAAACACAGATACCGTGGCATCTGATCTCTGAAAGCATTTCTTCTCTTTGTTTGTTTATTGTATTTATACCCCGCCTATCTAGTCATTTCGGAAGCATTTCTTCTCTCCCACTTCCAATGCTTTTGTTCAGATCAACTTAACTTGCCCATCTGTCAGGGTAGGGAAAACGAACAATCACTCTTATTGTGATGGAGAAACTCCACTTTGGGTGCAAAAATGCAAGAGTGAGTGATACTTTTTATTGGTCCACTAAAAATCAAAGAAATTGCAAGCTTTTGTGGAGAAAACCTTGCTTCTTCACGCTTAGTGCAACCCCTTTATAGACAGTGCAGAAAAATCATGCACAAGAGTCCCAAAATTGGGGATACATGTCTGTGAGAGCTGATGTAGGTCCTCTGAGGTAGGTCTGACACCTCTTTGCAGCACTGCAGGGTTTGGAATTTTCACACCCCTTTCATAGGACTAAAAGCCCTACCTGTTACTCTGTGATTGCCCCCTGCACACAAACCCATTCATATTGCCTGCTTTGAAACTTCAGTTTTTGTTTAGCTGTGGGGGTGGCGAAAACAGTGCAAAGACACAGTAGCATCTAGCGCTAGTTACAGGTTATTATTTGGTTTATTCACCACATAGAAATAGCCAGTTGTGCCACATGTTGTAAGCTGGCCAGAGACCTTTGGGTAGTGTGGGCGGCATATAAGTTAAACAAATAAATAAATAAACAAACAGCAATAGCAACAAAACAACAAATCAACAAAACAAAACAAAACAAAACAACAACAACAACAACAACAATAAAAAATAA